TATGTTTATAACATAGAGTGACTGTTTCCAGGGGACGCATGATGAGCGTCGAAAGAAACGCAATACCCCAGAGCAATTTTGCTTTATTCCAAAATACCCCTAAGCCAAAAAATAGTGAACCCTTTGGCTCCATTGGAGATGATGGAAAAATTGAAATGAATATTGAGAATATGATGGGAAATTATATATTCCCCAAAAACAGAGCACGCGTGATATGCACCTGATGCACAGTGTCGTGGTAAAAATCGTTTAGTTTAAGAGAATGTGCAAGGCTTGCACTAAAGCCACCAGAAATGCCGATATTAGCACCGGCATATTCCTTGTAAGGAAAGGCATAAAGGTGGCCAACAGCTGCAATAAGCATCTCGACACAAATTATGAAATCTTGAAACTTTGCTGCAGCTTCTGTATCCTTTATGAATCCAGACTTGGCAGCAAGGAAAACAAGAACTCCCTGATGAAAGAAAGTTAGCAAGTACAGTCAGCAAGTATGTAAGTTCGTCACGATCCTAAATACAACATGCACAAGCAAACAAAGTATACAACCAAACAAATTCCAAGAGCCTATAGTTGGGTATTAGTTCTAAAAAAATTGAAAATAGATATTAATACATCAAAAGGATAACACCACCAATTGTTGCATCAACTTTTTGAACTAATTCACGACCACCAACAAATTTGTTTTAAAATTATCAAAAGTTTCACAAGAAACTGCTCGTGCATGAATGGGCATTTTTTGCTATGAAACAAAAAAGTAATGTCAATAAAGAAATTAGAAAGTATGTCCCTGAGCATCCTGCGCAAAGGGTAGTTTATACCTGCCAGTATGTCAGAAAAACAACAGATTTGATCATGATGAACTTTGGAACAGGATTAAATGGCTGAAGCAAATCTCTGCATGCTACATAAAATAACAGCAAGGCATAAAGAGCCACTGAGTATGAGATGGTGTAGATAATGGTGAGATACAGGTAAGATTGCTTCGGGTTGAAATTCCCATCCTCATATTTTCCCTTTGCATAAAGTACAAATGTCACTCCAACTAAGACAGGCTTGAGGATTACAAACTGCAAACAACCCTGCTTGCACCTTCGTATGAAGCGCCTGAACAGTTTCAATGCTATTAGAAATGTACCACACTAAAATAAACAAGGGAGAAATACTGAATGCATAAAAAGGAAATAGATAGAAGTGCTTAAAATCAATGGATGTAATAATATTATTAAAGTGATGAACTTCACCAATGCAGAAAATAACTGTGTCAAAGACCAAGAAAAAAATGCATGCCATAAGATAACTGATAACAAAAATTCCTTCAATAGATATTGAAAGCAGCACATGCATTAAGATGAATAGTAACAGAGATTTTCAGTCAATTTCATACAAGTAACACACAAAAAACAATTGCGCAGTTGCTATCAAGCCACTAACCTCTAAAGAGAAAGTGATTCCATTTTAAAAGACTCACCCGTCCAATGGAATTTGAGGAAAACAGCATGTCATCAGACAACAATTAGGCTTTAGAAATCGACCAACCAAATTTAGCACAACAGCTCCTGGACCACCCACCCATGCCAAGCAAAGAGATAGGAAGTTGTATATGACCCAAGCTTCATATCTGAAATAGACATTAGAAAGCTATAAAATAAGTTCACGATGTAACATGTTAATATGTTTGAGAGATTTTATCATTCTCAGCACCGACATACATACATACATACATACATACATATATATATATATATATATATATATATACACACACACACACATATATATACATATACATACATACATACACACACACACACACATATACATATAGGTTCAATTGTTCAAATAAGAATGATGCACAGTGAGAAAAATGAGAATGCATACGATCCATTAGATTTAAGATCTAAGGGCTATTAAACATCAAAAAATCTAAAAAATTTGAAAAAGTCGCGGTGGCAATTTTGTAAATAAATTGAGTGGGATTGCCATTCTGTTAAAATTCAGAGCACAAGAAATGATAGGAAAGCTGATGTCTTATGCTTGTATTTTATTGGTGTTACTGATACAAACAACTAGTTTATGACATTAGGTGTTACCAGAATAATTTTAAAGGCTAGAGACTAGAGTACAAAACCTAGACTTTGCTTGAAAACTGTTCTTCAAAAGGCGCTCTGACCCCTAACCTCTCCCTTTTTCCCAAGGACTTCAACACTTAGGATCCCTAAAAAAAATAGAAGGGTAACATATTACAATGTATGCATGCTAGGAAACTCTACATCTTCAAATCTTGGGAAGCTCCAAGAATGAATTCCAAAGCTTTTGTTGTGTAACCTTCACTTTAGATAAATAAAATCTCCTCACTTGTGGGCAACAGCTCACGGTTTTCTTTGAGTTGAACACATAATATAACTTGTACCAGACCTATTTATATGTATATTCATATTTTAATATGGATTCAACTATCCTATGAGTGACAACTCATATTATATATATCGAGGTTGGTGGCCACAACGATTACATCTATCGGTGATATTGCACCATAAACCATAAATAACAATAAAACCAAATGTGTCCCATAATATGGACATGGTTGTTGGAATAAAGACTCACTTTCAAGTTATTCATAAAATGGATGAAATTGAGATGAGGTGATGAGCTAAATGTGTAGGAACAAGAAACACAACAACCGCATTAAAACGATAATACACGGATTAAGGTTCACAGAATATGGATCAGATGGGTTTTCCTAAGGACACACCCAATCATTAAGTAAAACCCAAGGTACAATATCTGGAAGGGAAGACATTGATATAGGAGAGCTGAGGGCAGTTTTAGACTTTTAGGGTATGTGCGGAAGGGGGTTGGAAAAGAAGGGGAGGCTTTTATACTAATTTATCATCATATAGCTTTCATTTTGAAAATTATCAACTTAGTGCCTAACTGGAAACTTCGCGGAAAAAACAAAGGAAGATATTTTGTTAGCATATCCAAAGAACCTTAATCATTTTAATAGGAGGATAGGTTGATTAAAAAAAATCCACTTTTTAGAATTATATTAATATCAATAACAAAGCAATGTTTCCATCAACTTTTCTTCATGTACACATTCTTGCAGATTTATTACTTGGTAATTACAACCCCCAAAAAAGAACAAATGTACACCCAATGCTATTGCTGCTTTATCAGGAAATAAATTATAAAATTATAAACATAATTTAAAAAAATAAAAAAGTAAATATTTTTTTTCACGATCTCTAACAGAACGCATACACTGCATGAAAAAGAAGTGGAGGATACCATGTATGAGAGAAAATAAAACATCATACAATTTGCACCCCAAAGGTATCAATGTACTTACATTTCACGTATGGAATTAAAAAATATTGCATTCTTGTCCAGAACAAGTGACAGAAAAGACATCAGTGCATAAACCTATAATGAAGAAGTATTTTGGTAAGGTTATTAATAAACAGAAACTAATATTGGATGACACAATGGTAGTAATGGTGCTCCTATCATGCAATGTGGTGTTTCAAATTCCAAAAAAAAAAGTGGTCATATTCTATCAAAGTTTTAGTTAGCATTAAGATGCAAATTATTGAGATAATAAAAAAATGTTTAGCTATTATATAAATATGAGTTTGGTCCTCCGACTATTGTCACTTATCCAACTGAATCTCGATATTGTTTTCACCCAATTTAGTTTTTCGTAACTTCAATCATTAGGGCTGGTAAAAGTTGAGGACAATAAGATAAAATAATTCCTAATTTAGTCCTCAAGGGATCAGATTTCATAATTTTGTGGCAAAATTTTGAAGATTAGGTATGGTGTCAACAAGCCATTGAAGATTCTGCTAGGGAGTGTAGTTGCAGCTCCCATGGTCAGATTTCCTAACTTGCATTAGGTCCAATTCAAATCTTCGAGCACCACAACATTACTACCTCTATTGCTGGCTGGCGCTAAGTCACCAACCATCCCATGACTGCCAGACTCTGCCATAGTAGTAATCCCAATTCCCAACTACAACAATATCACCAGCTACTGTGAACGAATAAATTTGGGAAGTAAATTTGGAAAATATGTGTTTGTAAACATGTTTTCCTAATAAAAGACATACTCTCTCCGTCAGGGAATGATCTTCCTAAATTTACTTTTCACTCATTTTACGGACAGTTGAAAAACAACGTAAATGTTCATTTTACCCTTAATGAAAGTGGGTGAAGTATGTTAATTGAGGTGGGTGGGGTGTAATAAATGAGGAAAGTGAGGTTAGTTGTGGTATTTCAAATATTTAAAAAGGTAATGGGAAGATCTTTCCGGGACGAAAAAAAGGGGATTTGGGAAGATCTTTTCTGAACAGAGGGAGTATTACATAGAAAGTAGTACTCCCTCAGTCATATAAAATTCCTGACAATTTGACTTCAAGGAGTTTAAGAAAGTTGCTGAGAAGCAAAAAGTGTGCGGATAGCATTTGCTTAGAGAAGAGAGAATTGCTGGTAAGTACACATTCATTACCAAAATAGAGAATAAAGTAAGTGTAAAGTGTTTTTGGGGCTTCCAAAAACGCAAGTGTATAAATGGACGTATTGAACCATCTCTGGAGCTTATTAGCTTAATCCCTAGATGTTGGTTTATGGAGCTTGCCAAGTAGCCACGTGTTTTATGGTGTTTTTAGGTGGGACAATAAGCAGGAGCGTCATCGGGGACCATGATGTTACTGGAATAAATCACGTGAGAAAACAGATTTACCTTCTTATATCAATGTCTCCAGCTTCCATAGCATTAGAACACTTCATTTGCGCCTCATTTTTCACGACATCCAATGTTGGTGATTTTAGTGAATCAGTTATTTTATGTAATTGGGTTTACTTAAGACAGAACGAGAATGTTAATAAACAATTTGAACGAGTTCAGAGGTGGAGAGTAGTGGAGTACACGATCGTTCAACGATATTACAATTTTCTTAGAGGAGTCCAGGGAAGCACGCCTGGTGGTGGGGTCAGGGGTCCAAGGGGCAATGCCCCTTATTGGGGTTGAGTTGGGAATTTTTTATTTTGGACAATTGTTGGTTTATGAAAATCCAAAAAGTAAGCTACATTCGAATGTAAGAATAACCACCGGCAAATCAATTCATCCAACAATACATTCGAATATATATTTTGGACAATTGTTGCTTTAGTGACCTTTGAAAAAAACACATAAATTCATAGTTGTTTAAGGCACATTGTGCATTGATGCACAAAGGACCCTTGGCACCTCGATGCGCTTTTCACAACTATGTGTACATTTAAATGTGGAACTGTCATATTCAAATGTATAGATTTCCAGCAACTCTCTGAAGTTCTAAACATTCGAATGTATTGCCAAAACATTTGAATGTTTTGGCCTACATTCGAATGTGTAACTTGAAACATTCAAATGTTTTCCTTTCACACGCGATGATTTGCACACGAACTGAAATCCAGCCTTCAAATGTACGAGCCTTACATTCGAATGTATGGCGACCACTCATGTTGGTTCGCACCAAGCCACCAGCAGACATGACTAGGCCAATTTTATCTATAAATATAGAATTCTTATGGTATGTTTTAGATATCAAACGTTCCATACTTGTTTTGAAGTTTACGTCTTATCTGATTGAAGTATTTTGGTATACCCCAAAACGGCTTTAATTTGAAAGTGTATTATACACAATTCATGAAGTTAATACGCTTATTCAAATCCTACCAACCCTTTACGCTGCTACATAACATATCTACCCTCCCATATTTTTCCAACATCCAAATGATAAACATGACAAAATTGAGGAAGAAATCTATGTTCACAAATCAATTCATCCATTTGAAAGACAGAGACTTAACTGGATAAGGGGAGACTTAGAGACTTAACTGGATAATGGATTGTAGCCGGAGGACCAAATCGGGATTTATCGCTTTCGCAAATAATTTATGAAGACACTTTCATTTATATGAGAGCTAGACCATTATCATGATCAAATGACATGTTCATTGAAATCATTCCGCAGAAGTGAAAAAACTAAACCTGCCAAAACACGTGATTGATTGAACAAAACTAAGACAAGAAATGATTACTCACAGGAACCATGAATATGATGCGCACAATATATCTCTGGTATATAGGCTCAGTGTAATTCAAGAGGTGTCGATATATATGAAGAATGGCCAGCGCAATGGCACCAACTGTACAAGGAAATGCAACAATGATATAGTATATAGGCCCCATTCCTTGTGCAGACCACCAACCCTCCAAATCTTCCAAGAAACCTGATAAACATAACCAAAAAAAGGTGCACATATCAGAACTTGTAATAAAAAATGAAGAAATCAAACAAACAACCATCCAAAGGAAAAACAGAAAGCAAATCTAAGAAAAGCCTTTTCAAATCCATTATCTTGGTAGAACAAGCTGCGTCAGCTAGACATTCAAAACCCAAAACCCAAAACCCAACTGAAACTCTGGTTAAACAACGCAAGCGGTAAGCAAATCAATTCCTTGGCTCCCAACAACAATACAGGAAAGATTTAAATCTGGTTCCTACATGATGAACAGCCAAAATCGAACGAATTGTACAGGGAAGCAGTAATTTAAACGATACTCCCAAGTCCCAATAAACTTGGACTTTTTCTAGTAGAAATTGACATGAAGGGCATAAAATCAACGCTAATGTAGAGATACCGGCGAAAGTGAAACCAACTTTGTCGACGAAATCAAGTGAAGATGGCGACGACTTGGGAAGATGGTAAAGCCTTCCTCCTCTTTTCCAATAGTATACCTTTTACTTTGATATACTACGGAGTATTAAAATTCAATATTTCAAAATGATGTTTCATAAAAAAAAATAATATTCCTATTACATCACCTTTCCTAAAAAAAAATTATTAGTATTACATTTATATCAAAATAATAAAATAAAATGTTTTTTCATATATCGATGTCCAGGTTTTTATAAATCAGACCAAGAAAAATCAAATTAGAAAATTTTTGCAGTCATGTGTGCTTCTATTGGGTTTAGGGGTGTGAACGGGTCCAAAACCAGACCGAATCGGACTGGAATCGAAATGGACTAGAATTGTAATCTTCTACTTCGTATTTGCAAGGACCGACGACCAGACCTGTTTCATACCGGTCTGGACCTGGATTTTTCGATCCGGTCAAGATTTACCCTATTATGGACCGGATTTTAAACATAAATGACCTAATTTTCATTATAAAAAGTTCATATCCAAATTGTATATGTAAATATATATAATAAGATCAATTCTTGATTTCATAACAATAACAATTCACAAAGGAGGATAATTGTTAAATTCATAAGTTCATAAGAGCATCTCCAAGGGAGAGTCTAAAAAATTAAAGGCTAATGGGCTGTTTGTTTCAGCCTCTTAATGGTTCAGATGTCTGAATGATTCAGCACTTAATGGTTCAGACTGTTTGTTTCAGTCTCTTAATGGTTCAAATGTCTGAATGGTTAAGAGATTTGCCTCTAAATGGTTAAGTATTATACAGAGTCTGAATGGTTAAGAGCTCTTATCTGAATTGATCAGACATTTGCCTCTGAATAGTTAAGTAATATACTAGCTCTTAATGGTTCAGACCTCTTACTAGTTCAGCACTTAATGGTTCAGACCTCTTACTGGTTCAGCACTTACCCATTCAGAATTTTCCAAACAGCCCCTAAATGTCAATTTAGCTTTTCAACAGTGTTTTAACTTCTACTCCGTAATTTTTTCATCTCTACTCCAACCATGGCATTGATATTATACAATACATTTTTATAATTATATATATATATATATATATATATATATATATATATATATATATATATGAACTTCACCCTTGGCTTGAGTGGTAGCAAGCCCACTCCCCAGGATTCATGGAGAAGTTCACCCAGGTTCGAGCCCCAGCGAAGGCGGCAGCATTGGCTCTTTGTGCGTCATTAGTCATTAGCTTGAGAATAGTATGAACAGATACTACCTTGTAATAGAGTCAATAGCATTCAAATATATATATATATATATATATATATATATATATATATATATATATATATATATATATGTATCATGTATGTATGTATATAGTTTATATTTTTATTTTGTCAAAACTTTCTCCAAATTCTGAAAAATTATATCTTGAAAAATATGCAGCAAAATTCCCAAACAAAAAATAAAAAAGCTGGCAAGATATAGAGAAAACAGAAAAGAACGGAAGCAACAGATAGAATTCTTTTTGCAATTCATGACTGCTCTTTCTGAAAAAAATTGTTGAATCGATGGATGCTTAAAAATTTTTGCAGAAAAAAATCTACTAGCCCAGTACTTGTCTGCTAGGGTTGGCCTTCACGACTATCCAACAACATGGAAGAGAACAAAGGGGAAGACCAGAGACGAACTTGAAGTAAAATAAATGGAATAGTGGAATACACTACTCTTGTATCCTCTATTTATGAACGACGGGAAAGGGAAAATAGCATTCAATCTATTTTATAAAGGATGCGTTGGAGACCCAATTTCTGTACAGTATAAGGTAAATCTTTTAGATTTTACACTTTATTCATTTATAAATGACCCGTTGGAGTTGCTCTAACACTTCAAAATCCAAGAAAAAAAATTTTTAAACCAAAGTTCAAACTTCAAAGTACAAAATAATAGAAAATACTTTAAGTAAAAATTGAAATTAAGTAACATATCATGCTAGGAGTCTAAGGAAATTGAAAAAAAAAAGTTAAAATTATAAAGGATAATGGTTTAACGGATTGGCCAATGGGCTTTGGGCTATTACATTTTGGGGTTGGATTTATTGAATTGTTAAAAATATTAATATGTAATTATATTCCGTGGGGTTGGATTTATTGAATTGTTAAAAGAATACTAATGTGTTACTCCCTCCGTCCTATAATGATCTTCCCGGTTTGCAAAACGAAGAAAAATCCCAAGTTTTTTCAATCAATTTTATTTAAATATTGGTATAGAAATAAAAAATAAAACATACATATTTAAAAACTACACCAAAAGTTCAACAAAACAAGTGGTGACAAGAATATTTTATTTTATCATATAGGCCATGAAAAAACACAAATAAATATAAATTCCCGTGAAGTTGGAATAGTGCTCTGGGAAGATCATTATAGGACGGAGGTAGTATTATATACTGGTCCGAACCGGATAGTTCCGGGTTTAGACCGGACTGGTCCGGTCCATTTCGGTCCGGTTCAGGTCTAAATTTCGGTCTGGACTTGTTAATGCACATCCCTTAATACGAAGTACTCTTTTCATCCAAGTTTATTCTTTTCATTCACTATTTACATGGTCAAACTTTATTTAGTGTATTTAATTATTTTCACTAATTATTTCAATACTCCCTCTGCTACAATTTAAATTGATTGTTTTAGTTTACGATGTTTGACCTGAGTTATTTTCAATACAAGTTATTAGAAAATTGGAGCGTAATTTAAAAATAAACTTTGCATATTAAAAAGCTACAAAAAAAACTTTACGAAATAAGAAATGATATGGCTATATTATTTTATAAAATGTGTCATGAAAATAAGCAAAAAAAATGAATGATGTTTGACCAAATGAGTACTAAACATACAACTTAATTGGAGGCTCATAGAGTCATAGAGTATAATTTATTAATATCGCAGTGAATTTTTTTTTCAATTTTTTCCAGATCTGTGGTGGGATGTTGATATTCCTCAACGAGAAGTCTGAAAATACATCTTTGCGATAAAGGGATTGTGAAAGCGAGGGATGCAGGTCTGCGACGGCGGGAGATGCGGGTTGTGACGGCGAGAGAATGTCGGGGGGCTTGCGAAGTAGGGGCGCTGCGATGGCGGGGCTTGCAACGGAGGGGGTTTTGAAAGCGTCATCACTGGTCGTGCCGAAGCGTCGGTGGCTGTGGTGTGGAAGTCCCAACGTCGGCGTAGGCAAAGTTAATTGGCGCCAGAGGAGGTAGAGGGGGTGAATAGAGTAGAAAGGCTTGGGGCATAATGGGAAAGTGAACACAATTTTCATTCCACATAAATTTGTGCACTAAGTCAAAGCGTAAAGTTTAATTTTGGACAAAGGGAGTATAAATTATATTTTTAAGTTTATGCCTCCAATCAAATAAATTTACTTGAAAATAGACTCAGTCAAGTATCCTAACACATAATAAGATGACCATAGGGGAATTACATTGCAAAGTTAAAGAAGTAAATCCCTAACTGGAAATGTTTTTGTCACATTCCGTTGTAGTCTAGGTGGTTAGGATACTCGGCTCTCACCCGAGAGACCCGGGTTCAAGTCCCGGCAACGGAAATTTTTTTCCATTTCCATTAGATTGCTGTTAACAATTCTATATTCGGAGTTTTTAAAACCTAAAACCAAAATAAAAATTTGCCTTTTTTTTTCTGTTGTTATCTATTTAGGACAACTTTTGAAAATTTATAGTTTTTTTAAATCATTCAAATGATGAAATGCATTTCTAAGTTGCACTTAAATTTTCATTAATGTTATTGATTTTAGTTGCAGTTTAATTTAACTCTTGCCCAAGTTTTATTTTGAGTTCCATTTATAAAAATGATTAATTATTTAAATTACAATTATGTATGTAAAAATACTTACCATTTGCTTTTAAATTTTGATGATGACTTTGATTTTCTTCTCTAACTCAAAAAATTTAAATTATCAAAATTAACTATTATGTTTATTGTTGTTTCTGTTGATGTTGCTGATATTGTTATTAATACCCATAGTATTTGTCCAAAGAAATTGAGTATATGCTTAATATCTCCCTTATTATATAAGGGCCAACAATATTAAGTCTTCAAAATTCTGGTCTTTTTTCCGTTAAAAAGTTTGCCGGCCGTTAGGATTTCGCGACATATAGTTTGACTTTTTTTCCTTCCTAGTCCGGACGCCAAAAGGACTCACAAAAGTCAAACTGGATAAATAAATTGGGACGAAAGTAGTATATGCTTGTAATGTTATCTGTTGAAACAATCTTCGAGTACCATAATTTAATCCCAGTTGATGTATGTTGCCTTTTGATATATGTGTTTAGCGTTTTTGTTTAGTTGTGTGAGAAAATTTAAAGGGAGAATGGCTATTCCATCACATCCATTAAGATCCATAAAGGTGAAAAATATAAGAATTTCGAGTTTGAAACATATTTTGATGGATTTCTCATAACCTAACCACTCTCAAAAGTCAAAACTCCTCAACAAAATCGAGTAATTGAAAGAAATAATCACTCCTTCTGTCCCAATGTATTTGTCCAGTTTGACTTTTTCGAATCAAATTGGACAAACTTTAATTATCAATTACTCTCAATTTATATTGCATATTAATACAATAAAATCCATTTTTGGAAGTTCTCAATAAGATAAATCTAATGAAATATTTTTTATATTAATATCCAATGAAATTTTTATATAACTGAAGTCCAAAGTTCGTCAAGTTTGACTTGGAAAAGTCAAACTAGACGAATACACAATTTGCCGGAAAATCAAATCAAATTCATTTCCTAGTAGAAGCATTTAACAAAGTCAGCTGATAAAAAAATGTAAAACTAATGTGTAAACATTTATAGAATAGAAAGAAAAAAACAAGAGATACTACAGCTACAAGCCATACCTGTTGATGTTATAAGTAAGGCCACCATGCAAGCCTGGGAGCTGGGTTTTCCTTTGAAATAAGGACTAAACCGAAGAAGAACATGTGTTGCATGGTACTTGGCACTCCAAATCATCACTATTTTAATCTACAAACCTATGACTATGTTTGTAGTGTGTAGAAAGGAGTAAACTTCAATGGTGGCTTACAAGGACAGTGATGAAATGTTATCATTTTCCTCCATTTCCTTCCAGTGCTGCAAAATCTCATATACAGACGGCTCCTCTGTTTCTTCCGAATCTTCATTGTCACTTGTTG